AGAGAGAGAGAGAGAGAGAGAGAGAGAGAGAGAGAGAGAGAGAGAGAGAGAGAGAGAGAGAGAGAGAGAGAGAGAGAGAGAGAGAGAGAGTGATTGAAGGAGGAAAGAAAATAGATTATAAATGTGTGCAGGGGAAAAGTTGTGCGTGTATGAGTAAAAGAGGGTGGTTTGGCTATGGTACGAGCGACCGAGCGAGACCGAGTTCCGCCCTCGGCTCAACTCGGGATTGTCCAGGCGGGGAGAAGCCATTGGCGTAGGCCAACACTGAAACCGTATATATACCCTTTACACACACACACACAGCGACGCTAGCTTGACTGTAACATATATATGGTTGAGCGCGCTGGCGCACACGTGTGTACAAGTAGATTCCTCCCTATGAGCTTTAGGGGTCCCGTCAGCGAACTCTCTCTCATCGGCCCGTCCCGTTTGCCGTTTTCCCCCTTTTTGAGTGGTGGTGGTGGTGGTGGTGGTGGTGTATCGCACCGTCGCTTATCCACCCGCTATACGTAGAGAAAGCAGTTCCAGCCTGCCTCTGTCTACCAGTCCTCTCAGTGTCCCACCGCACGCCGTACCGTTTACAACTATTTCTTCTCTTTTACGGATAACCAATTTTATCCTAATCCAGTCAATATACGTGATTGTATACTGTATTGTCATTTATATTTTTTCGTTTCCGATTTAAAAAAAATTTTTTTGCAAGAACTCCACTATTCCGCATGTAGGTATAAATGATAAAATTGATTTTTTTTTAAAAATCCATAATAAATGTGAAGGTACAATTTTTAAAGAGTTTTGATAGAGTAATTAGAATGTGAATACTTTGTTCAATTTTTTTTTATTCTTTAGAATGTTTGGTTCCTGATTAAATCACATGTGTTTTTAATTTTTATTTCTGAGTAATTCATATATTATTATATGGAAAATTCAATAAACACTAATTAATCAATAAAATAAAAAAAAAAGCCAAACGAATTGTATTGTTATGGAACGGAATTAATGTCTGTAACAATGTGACAAGTAAAATTGAAAAACCAGTAATAATTTTTTGATCTTTTACACATGATCGGTGATGACACAGGTATATATATATATATACATATATATATTCCTCCCCAACTCTATTCTCTTGTATTTTGCGTCTCTCTCTTTCTCTCTCTCTCTCTCAACCCCATAACCACTACCACACCCGCCTGGCGCAACACACTCTGCCCCCTCTCACCCGACGCCTTCTCCCACCCAATGAAACAATCGCCATCTCACTCTATCTCACTAGGCTGAATGTATCCAAGTGGAGGAGAGAGAGTCCCGTTTGAGTGGTCGCTTACGCGCTGAGCACGCGCTAGTGCCAGGGTACAGTATACCGGGGGAAGGTTATAACACTCGGCAGTTCTCTCCTACCCAAACTCAACTCTCTCGCTCACTCGTTGTTTCCGTGTACGCTCGCACATACAACTTGTATCCATCATACAAAAAACTATCACCAAACCCATCCATTGGCTCTTGGCCCCAGTCTCACCATTTCAACTCGTATTTTCTCTCCTGTTTCAGTGAATCCGTGACACAAACACTCGGGAGGGGAATTTTTCAGTCTGCGTCACCTGATCGCGGGACGCTTTTTGCGGGTGAGATATCGCTCAACCACCGAAAGTGCAACGAGTGCTACTGCTTCCTTGCTACTATAATCTTGTAGTTGAAATGTTTTATTAATTAATTGTAACTGCAATTGGTTATTGGTTATTGCTTCAGTGTCAAATGGCTGTTATGCCAATTCGTGTAAAGATATATTTTTTTTATTAATATATCGGGGGGAAAGGTTAATATTCATAAGTGCTGTGAGCCCCCGGTTAACAATTTCAAGTGCTGTGAACCTGTTAAACTCGCCAGATGATATATCGCCCTATTGTGACAGGTTTGTGTTTACTTCAGTTAGTGTCGACAATTTGTTTTTTTTTCTTTTTTTCTTTCATACTCAGTGGGTTTTGTCAATGTCCTTTGCGAAGCAAGCATCCAGTCTTGAGTTGATAAAACAAATTGCTATCAAATACATCTTGTCAATGAATCAATCTACCCCTTTTTCTAGAGATCAGAAAATCATTGGCATATATCAGCAATGATGAACGTGAAATCCAACAGCAAATCGTTTAGTGATGGGAAGTGAATTTTTTTTATAGACCAAAAAAAAACGGCTCGAGCGGGCGAATGAATCCGTGTACACCAGAGAATAATAGGAATAGTGGGTATTGCGCACGTAGCCAATCGCGAATCATTTTGTTGGGAATTGGTAATCGGCGGAAGGGGTGACATAGTATAGGGGGAGAGGAGTAGATATATAACACGTTTGGATATTCGAAAATACATGGAAAACGTAGTGGATGAGCAGACGAGATAGTGCGTCGTGAGTGGGGGGGGGAGCGTGCTAGCTCGACGGTTCTGGTTGCCCGACACGGGACGCCTCTCACTCTCTTATACCACCCGCCCGTTTGGGAATTCAATTTACTGCCAGTCCGTGGGTTCCTGGGTTATGTTTTCCATCTCTCTTCATCGAATTCTTTTTAATGCAACGTGTTATTTTTTTTCTTATGTTTTTTGAATTTGCAATTTTGTGGCTCGCTAGTAACTTTTCATTCTGTATTTTTTCCACAAAATTGAAAAACATTTTTCTCCAATCTGGCATCTGGAGGAAATTAGAGACAGAAAAAAAACAAACTCTTTTTCCCTTATGATTATTGTCAAAGATACAGATGAAAAACCTATCTCATCGAATCATCAAACAATAAGAGTTTCTGTAGTTGTAATATATTTCGACGATATTCGTAAATTGAGAAAAATATTCTCTTTGTGGCGAATTATTGAAAAAAAAAAAGAGTCTAGTCGACTCGGATATCTACAGCGATACCGAGAAGCTAAGTGGAAAGAGGTGAGGAGAGGTTTCAGTCGAGGATAGCAAGGGCCGATGGAAAGGGGGAAATGGTTGAAGCTTGGGTGGGCAATGGTACGTGGTAATACAGTGGTGGTTGGCGCGAGCTTGATTGCACATTGCGATCACGAGTGCCCCACGTAGAGTGAGAAGAGCGTTTGGTAACGGAGATAGGGCCCTTTGTCATTGGACCAAATGGTATTGGAGCAGGAAGCACGTAGCGTTACACCACACAGAGGAGTTGTCGTGGTTATAGCACGACTAAACTGCAGGCACTTGGAAAAAAAAATTCATTTCATTGACTCTTTGACGAATGTAAATGATTCCTTCGATACATCAGAGAGTGTAAATGATAAAATAAACAAAAATTAATTTAGGCTTTACGCCCACTGACGTATAGTTTTTATAGTCAACGACGATGTCAACGAACCGGTTTCCCAATTTAGCAAATAAACCCAGGGGGACTCTTTTTCCATGGGATAAGAGGAGGAGGTGGTCTCTTTCTCACCTCGACACCCAGCAGAGAGTGGTTCAGGGTTCTTAACGAAGCAAAATTTTTAACCGCCGCAGGGCGCTCGTTAAACTTTGACTTCAGTCCGTCCTTTTCTTTACACTCGAGGCTGGCTCGTGGACCCATACCAGTGTCATTCCAGTATAACGACCGAGAAATTTCCCGTCGTTTCGCTTTGGAACCCGTTAAAACAGTAGTATTATACAAGTGAGAAAAGGGGAAGGAAAAAGAGAGTGTCTCGATGTAATTACTTGGCTCGAGAAATTTTCTACAATCTATATAGATTGGGGTACAAAAACAAAATTTTTGACATATAAAATTGTACATCCTCCCGTCCTCCTTTCCTTCAGTCATTCAATAGAGTTAAAGCCAATTTGCGCGGTTTAATTCTCCACATTATACTACCCCTCACGGGTTTATAATCAGCGCCCCCCACTTGAGTGTATATATCCCGTATGCGGCTGTAGGCGGCGTATACATGGATGATTCAAGCGGCGGCATCACTCTTATTCCCCTACCTTGTTGTTTTCTATAAAACCATCAGAACCACCCTCCCCGTTCGCACACTTCTAACGCGCAGTCGGATAGGGCCAGTCCATTAGCCACGGTCACCCTTTTATCTCCCTTTTCTCTCCCTTGTTAAACGTTTCCGGTTTGTATAATCGCATGGTGAAAATTTTCCGTGTAAAGATGATGCGATAAATGTCTACTTAAAAAAAAGACAATAAATTAATTAATCGGCGCCTCATAATTTTTATTACTTTTGTTCCAGCAGACAGTTGGAAAAACCATTGGGTGGTATTATCCAAAATTATTACTCCAGGGAAAACCTCCAGGGAGAATGTCCAATGGATTAAGCGAGAATGCCACGAGTACAATTCCAGCCATGGATAATCAGTGATAAAAGCGTAAAAGTGCAAAAGTGGGCCTAGAGAAAGTAATCGTAAAATAGCATTCAAGTATAATAGTCCAATAGTTAATAGTGTATAGAATAGTGTCACCATCATTAATTATAAAGGCGACACAATGACTAGCGTTATGGGTCTGCGACGTCGTGTCCCAGTGAATACACCCGCTTTATTACCGCCTGCATCCTCTAAACGATCGAGATCGGAGAACAATAATAATCCATCACATGGTAATTTAAATTCATTGAATAATCGGGATGAGCCAGTGTCAGTGCCAGTGCCAGCTAAGAAATCACGTAATGTGTCAAACAGTATTAGAAATAGTTCAGGTGTGAATACAGAAACAATACAAGTGTCAAGGGGTCGTGGTTCATCAAAGTGTAGGGTAAAAAGTCCCATGAGTGTGCAAGCACCACCACCACTACCACTACCACTACCACCGCCACCATCATCATCATCATCAGTAGTAGCACACACGTTACCAACAAATACCAATGGGCCAGTGCAACGCTCGGAACAGGAAATTAATAGCTTCAATGTTTTAACATCAACACCATGGTCAGTGGCGAGTAGTAGCATGACAGATTCATCCGTTACATATGGAACAATATCAAGTCTCGTCCCGGCTACACAGCCGAATTTAGGCACTTCGAGTAGTCTTGCAATACCAACACCAATTCCCTACATGGCAACGTCCATGGCAACCTTCGTGGGTACAGCTACCAATCTCAACAAAAACTCGTCAGTGTCGTATCTAGATATTTCCAACATGACAAGTGGCTCACTTGGTGCTACTTCTACTAATACCGCTATCAGTGCAGCATATGGTAATGGTAATGGTAATGGTAATAGTAAAAACTCAACTCTAATGTCTGACAGCAAGACATCTGTCTCACTTCCATTTTCCGGGCTTGTGCCAACTTCTCTGCCGTATAGCACTAGTAAAACATCGCAAACAAATGTAGATGCTAAGATTTCATCACCAAAATCAATCAAGTTTCAAAATGACACGATGTTCAATACGTACCAGCCGTGGGTTATCAAGACGTATGGTGATCTTGCTAAAACAAAGACAATTACCATTAAAAAATATGCAAGAATATTGAGAACACTGCGGGGTGAAGAGGTTAATAGCGCTGAGAATAGTAAGTTCCGATTTTGGGTCAAGAGCAAGGGTTTTCACATTGGTCAACCGGAAGGATATGATGCTAAACCGGCGGACAGGATAATCGGTCGTCATGCTGTCACTAGCCCTGGATTAGATCCGCCTCTCTACGTACCAACTCAATTACCTCATAATAAGGTGAGTGCGCACATAAAAAATATCAAATTTATTCCTCTTTATTAATTTTCGGTATTTTTACGTATCTATTTGATATGGCCAATCATCTATTCATTCACTCGACTTTTACCCTGAAAAAACATTTACCGTGAAATAAAGAAAGATGAAAAAAAAAAATGAAATGAGGATGAGGATGGAAGAACCGTGTCTGGGCCATTGCCGTTTAACTTTCGGGTGGCTCCCGCAAGGCAACTCGACGGTTTTGCGAAGTAAAAGCCAGAACGAGAGATACCTCGCGCGGTCGTAGTGCTCACCTCGGCGAACAAGGTGGCTGCTTAATTACGTCTAATTATACGTGTAGGAGCTATGGCGTTCGTGTGCCATAGCAAAAAGTAAAAGAGCTTCTTGTCCTCTTGTAGAAAGAGAACAAGAGAGAAAAAAAAGAGACCGAATAACGAGAGCTTGCAATTATATCTCTCTGCGTTTGGTCAACACAATCAAATTCATTACCTATCACACAATTACTTGACAAGAACAATATAAAAAGTTAATAAATAAAGGGCTGGAGGGAAAAAATTGCACTCCTCATCTTGCCACCATCCGAAAAGCAGCCCCTCTCTACCCCATCGCGAGACCCGAGAGAAGAGTCCAGTCGGCTAGTCATTAGTCACTTTCCGAAGCAGCGGCACGGACAGGCTGGTGCCGCTATTTTCATCTCACTCATTTTCTCTCTCTCTCTCTCCCCTCCCTCTTTCTCTGGCAATCGTGCCGCGCATCCTTCTCCCCCCAGGCCCATACTAGCAGAGAAGTATTTACCAGTCGTTTCGCTTCACCTCGCATATTCCATCCACGTCTCTCACCCCAGCAATGACTCCATCCCTTTCTCTCTCTCTCTCTCTCCTTTCTACTCTTTTTTTTTTCTTTCCTTGTGATTCCATCTCTTCTCTCTCTTTCTCTCTTTTGCGCACTGTAATAACCATCTGCGCGGGAGTACTTTTGCCGCTCGTGTTCAACTCTACGGTGGTGTTAAGCCTCTCGCGCGTCTATCTTGATTGAGAGGGAGAGCTTCAACGGGTGTGCGCGCGCGTGAACCACACCAGAAAGCGAAATAAGTTGGGTGGAGGAGGAGGAGGAGGAGGAGGAGGTGACGCACAGAGAGAGCAAGCAGGATAGAGATGAGGGAATGGATGAATACTCAAGTGAGACAGAATGATACGAGGTTCAGCGCCACATCGTGTAACACAGTATACCATACCACCGACAGAGACGTCGCGTGCTTGTCATTGATCGTTCTCAACTCTCTCTCTCACTCCTTTTGCCCCGTGCTGCGTCTTCTCTTTCAACCCCACACTCATTTAGGTTTTCCTTCTCTCTCATCAGTATACAACGCCCCGGTTGTCGCGTTAAAGGTCCCGTACCAAGTGTACATGGTTTATTTTATTTACCTACATATACTGTAGGGAATGAACGCAACCAACGTCGTTAGCGTGTATTTCATACTTACACGAAATACTCTATTCGAGGCTAACCATATGTAGGCTCGCCTCCCGATTATGTGCGTATTCATGTGCCCAATGTATTTTCTTTATTTAATTTTTTTTTTTTTTCATAATGTACGTAATGTACACGTATTAGTTGGAGGTATTATATTTTCAAGGTACGAGGCATTTGTTTTCTATTTGTTTTCATCGACTGAGAAGAACAGAGTTCATTTTTTCAATTATCTTTACTACTAGTACCAATGAGAATCGCAACGAAGAAAACTGTCTCGCCTCTGCTGAATAAAACTTTCCTGTCTGTCCAGCTCTGTCTGATACTACTTAGAACCTTCCTTAGAATCTCACCGCATTCTCATACATATAAAGAAAATTTATTCTCCGATGAATTACGGCTTGTTCCTTGTCGATTATCAATCACCATTGGTTCAATAATTTTCGTAGTTTTCGGGCTAATAAAAAGAGAGAAAATGTAATTAAAATGGCCCAAAGAAAGGATAAAAGAAATAGCAACGGGTGACACACGCTAATGGCTTGGCTTGACAACCCTCAAACTCATAGCATACCCCTTTAGACCCCCTGACAGTCACGGGCTAACGCTCGATGATTATCACATGGGCTTTGTCGATGATGAAACTACACATTGCCACGCTAGTGTACCTATACACAAAGGCAGACGCACACTCATATACGTGTTACCAGGATTGGGATGGTGAGAGGAAGGGTGAAAGCGGAAAGGGGAGAAACCTATTGGGGCCAGCGGCGTCACGTATTGCACGAGGTGAAGAGACGAACTCGGGAGCAGACACTACACTACACTACACAACACAGAGGACACAACGAGGGTGGTATTCCGCTTTGGTCGCGGACACGTTGTGTCCTTTTCTCTCGCTCTCTCAATCCGGGGGGCTGAGTCACGCACCACAGCAAGAGACTGTATGTATACTGCACAGCCTGCAGCATAGTACTAGTACTGCGGGGGGACTGTATGTAATGGAAGAAGAGGGATGAAAAAGGGAGAAACAATACAAAATGTGCAATTGAGGAAATACATGCGCGCAAGAACGTTGGGCTTCAAGTCTTTTTTTTACTCCACGCTTAAATGGTGTATCAGGAATCGTACAATTCCTTTGGGTGTGATAAGTTGACAAGAATTTTGCATTTGGATACTAAGAGAGACTACTGATTCTATCAGTTGCTGATTCCTCAACAACCTTTAAAAAAAAAATCCAATGAAGGAAGGATTCCATACGATGCCAAAGTAAATTATGATTTGATTTCAATAGTCAGGGTTATTTGAAACCGAGAACCTATTTTCACCAATTCCTTTATCAAGAGATTTCGTCGAGCTATCCTTTAAAAATGGGAAATACGATTCAATTAGTTGAGTCTGTCATCGTGTTGTACGTTGATATGACAACGCTTTGGAGGGAGGAAGATCAGCTCTGGGTGTGTCTCCATTCACAGCTATTCGATAAGCATCGATAACTATTTGCCCTCCACACCGCGTCTCGGTCAACACTAACTCACGCCGTAGCTAATTAACTCGGGGTGGGGAGTAATATATCCAGTGTGCGGTGGAGCATCGAATTCCATTGGACAACACACGCACACACAGTAAACTCGCATATGTACATTACTACTGTATTAGGGCGCATTGTCCTACAATGCACCATGGCACCATAAGAATCCATAGAATTATTATGAAATTTTGAGCCACAAGAATTCCATAAAATAGTGTTAGCAGAGATAATTTTAATGGCCGTGACTATTCGCACCATTGCGTGAATCACTCCCGTACACTCCATACACTCCACGCATGCGTGAAGTTTGTGTGTTTCACGCAGCCGAATTTTCATACTGCTGTGTATTTCACGCAGTTGAAGTTTCATACTACTGTGTGTTTCACGCAGTTGAAGTTTTATACTACTGTGTGTTTCACGCAGTTGTATTTTTATACACCAGTGTGTTTCACGCAGTTGCATTTTGATACGCCTGTGTGTTTCACGCAGTTGTATTTTTATACACCAGTGTGTTTCACGCAGTTGCATTTTGATACGCCTGTGTGTTTCACGCAGTTGTATTTTTATACACCAGTGTGTTTCACGCAGTTGCATTTTGATACGCCTGTGTGTTTCACGCAGTTGTATTTTTATACACCAGTGTGTTTCACGCAGTTGCATTTTGATACGCCTGTGTGTTTCACGCAGTTGTATTTTTATACACCAGTGTGTTTCACGCAGTTGCATTTTGATACGCCTGTGTGTTTCACGCAGTTGTATTTTTATACACCAGTGTGTTTCACGCAGTTGCATTTTTATACGCCTGTGTGTTGCACGAAGTTGTATTTTTATGCGCCTGTGTATTTCACGCAGTTGAAATTTTATACACCTGTGTGTTTATACACACAGGAGTGTGAAATACACAGGAGTATCTGAATACGACTGCGTGAAACACACAGTAGTATGAAACTTCAACTGCGTGAAATACACAGCAGTATGAAAATTCGGCTGCGTGAAACACACAAACTTCACGCATGCGTGGAGTGTATGGAGTGTACGGGAGTGATTCATGCAATGGTGCGAATAGTCACGGCCAATTTTAATGTTCCTCATTGAGAATGGGATAATACTTGCTGTTTGAAAATTTCGTGGCAGCGAGTTAGGTTGTCAATGGTGGGAAAGAGAGAAAAATTTAATTCTCCATGGGAGTTAATAAGATATTAAAATCAACGGATTTCATGAGATTAACTACTTGTCTTCCTTATCTTGTATGAAAGTACATCACTTGTAACTTTGAATACCTCAAGTTTTCACAGACAAAATCAGCAGACGTGAATTGTCGATATTGAATAATTTTCAGCTAATTAAGAGCTAATATTTCACGTTTCAAAAAAATGAAAAAAAGAAAATCATTAAATATTCTTTTTCGATTAAAAGGTGCATTTACATGCTTATGGATAAAAACAAATTGTGTATTAATTGCATTTTCAAGAAAAAAGTATTGGCACTAACTTCTTTCCAAGTTAGCAGGAAAAATGCTTGAAAATAAATAGACTTTAATTTCCGATGTCGAAAAAATGAAATTTTTTTTTCGTCTTTTCTGTCGCCTCCGAGGGTTTCATCCACATCTGGGGGATGGACAAAAACAGAATCAACATTGGCTTATTCGAGGTTTGCCACAATATTGCCAATGACGTAGACATTTTATATGTGGAAAAAGTAATACAACAGCTTCTCCTCAAAGATGAAATCCTTTGAGGAGAATAACCATTAAACCAAAGTGCTTCTTCTGCCTTTTCAAAGTATATAGACGTTGTTGATAGTGTTCACTGAAATGGTTGAAATTCCCCAAGGCCAGTGTTTTCTTCGAGTGGGACCTGGGACCATGGGTTTTGGTTGGTGCGGATTTATAACTACACAACGAGGATTACATCGAGTCACAGTTTGGCGAAGGGAATGGGACGTGATAGTCTCTCACTCACACATGGATGGGGGGGGGGGCTATAACCCATCCCTCGGGTAC